CTTCATATGATGTATTATGACTTGTGCGAATCGTCGGTTTTGGTTTTCAGGTGCCTCGGAATGAATTTGGAGGAATGAATCTCATATTACAAGCTTTAAGTTGGAAGAGTTGACCAAGTTTGACTTTTGTGTATTTGGCCTCGGATTGGAGTTTTGATGATTCTGGTAGGTCCGGATGGTGATTTTGGACTTGGGCGTATACTCGTAATTTCGTTTGGATGTTTCAAGAAGGTTTTAGCACTATTTGGCGAAAGTTACAAATTTAAAGGTTTGGAATGTTCATAAGTTAGACCGGGAGTTGACTTCGATGTTATCGGATTTGGATTGTGCTTTTGAGAGTTGGAATAGGTTCATTAGGTTATTTGAAACTTGTGTGTAAAATTTGAGATCATTACGAGTTGATTTGATATGGTCCGGCACGAGTTTTGGAAGTTGAAAGTTCAAAAGTTCATAAAGTTTGATTTGAGGTGCAATTCATGATTTTGATATTGCTATGTGAGATTTGACGCCTCGAGTAGGTTCATGTTATATTTTGATACTTTTTGGCATTATTTCACAGGGTCCTGAGGGGTTTGGGTGTGTTTTGGATCATTGGTTAAGAGACTAGTTGAGTTATGAAATTTGGAGTTTGACCACGGTCAATATCGGGTCAAGACGACCTCTTTTCAGTATTTTGAGTGCGTGAGCAGTTCCGTATCATATTTTATAATTTAAATGCATATATGATGTGTGTCCGGAAGGTTCCGGATGCGTTTCAGGGTGGTTTCGGATTGTTTCGGTGAAGTTTGGGTTTGCTAGCGGTGGTACTTCGTAATTTCGAACTTTTTGTTGCAATTGGGAACTACTGCATTTGCGAACATCTGGTTGCAATTGTGAACCTTGATTGCAATTGCGAACTTGTGGTCGCAATTGCGAACAATCCGCAATTGCAAACTTTCGGTCGCAAATGTGACATCTGCATATGGGTTAAGAGTTAGAATTTCGGGATTTTAGCTCATTCTTTCATATTTTAAACCCTAGGCTCGAATTTGGGAGATTTTGCAGATAATTTTCACCACATGGATTGGGTTAATTATTTTCAACTCGATTTTGATTATATTCCATGATTCCATCTTCGATTTTGGCATTTTATTAATGATTTCAAAAGAGAAATTGGGGGGTTTTGTCTAAATTTTTCTAAATTGATTAATTGAGTTTTGAACATCGATTCGGAGTCGGATTTGAATGGAATTATTATGGTTGGACTCATATTCGAATGAGTTGTCAGAATTTGTAAGTTTTGTCGGGTTCCGAGGTACGGGTCCGAGTTTGACTTTTTGGTTGACTTTGAGTAAATGTGCGAAGATTCGACCTTTATCATTTGGGATTGCTTCCTATGACATTATTTGATGATTTTGAGTTACTTTTGGCTAGTTTTGAGCCGTACGGAGGATGATTTGAGCGGGATGGCACTTCTAGTATATCGATTTGACTTATTTGAGGTAATTGTCTTGCCTAACTTTGTTGGAAGAATTTTTTCTACTAATTGATAATGTTTGCTACATGCAGAGATGATGCATATATGAGGTGACGTACGTATATACATGTACCAGGGTTAATCATGCTCGGGGGTAAATTATACGATTAATTGTGCCTTATAGAATCATATGACCTCCTTGTTTCATGTATTCTTTGACTTTTAGATTACTATGAATATGTAATTAAATGCTAGAAATCATGATTTAGATTATTATAATTTGATTGAAATTTGACGGACTTTTGTGAAATTATTGATGCGCTAAATCTGATCGTTATTATATTTAATCACAAATACATCGCTACGACTGTTATTCTTGAGATATTGGATTCTATACTTGAGTTGAAGATCATCTTTAAGACTTGTTAAAATACTTGAATAATAAGGTTTTTTGAGGTTTATTGAATTGTTATTGGCTTGAAAGCCGTGATTGATGTTCATTTGAAATAATCACTTAATCACTTTCCTCGATGTGATTCATGCTTCCTATCTAGCTTGTTAGTGATATACATGTTCTTGGTGAGGAAGAGTGTAAAGCACGAAGGGTGATGACGTGCCATTGCATATACATTATCATGTGAGGAAGAGTATAAAGCATGAAGGGTGATGTCGTGCTATTTCATTTACATTATCATATGAGGATGAGAGTAAAAGTACAAAGGGTGATGCCGTGCCATTTTATTTATATTATCATGTTTTTATTTACATTATCATATGAGGATAAGAGTAAAAGCATGAAGGGTGATGCCGTGCCATTTTATTTACATTATCATGTGAGGATGAGAGTAAAAGCAAGAAGGGTGATGTCATGCCATTTATTATATTATCATGTGTTCATGGCACGAAGGGTGTTTCTGTACAGGCGAGGACGAAATACATGCATTATGTGATGATATCTTTTCCTTATGAATACATTCATGCCTTTATCTTAAGTTGTTACTGTTGCACCTATATTTTCTATGTGATTTGTCATTATTGTTCTGTCTTTTTCCTATATCCCAATTGTTGTTGTGTTGTTCGTGCCTTCTATCTGTTTAACTTGCAAATATCATGTTTTTCTTCTTGTTTGTCATATTTATATCTGTGTCGTTTCTCATTTGTGGCACTTTCGTATAAGCCTTCTACTGATGTTAGTTACTCATACCTTCTATTTGTTTAGCTTATAAAGATCATGTTCATGGCTATTATATTTACACATAAGCCTTCTACCATGTTGGCTTAGTAAAATTTATGATCCTCTATCTTAAACGCTATCATTACTCATATGCCTTCTATATAGTCTATTATTGTTGCCTATATGCACTGCATTGCTCGTTATTGCTTTCTGTGTATCTCCCACTTTATCGTTATTGTTATTGACATTTCTTCCATCTAGTTAGTACTGTTATACGTATGCTCGGTGAGGAAGAGATAGTTGCACGAAGGGTGTTGCCGTGCCAATTGATTTGACCTACATTCATATATTTGGCGAGGATGAGATAAATGAACGAAGGGTGTTACCGTGCCACTTGATTTGATATCTTGAGTATATTTCTCACACCATGAAAGTTATAAATTTACTGCCGTGATTTTTTCTCGTAATCATTTACTGCTTCGCATAGTTATTTTCTTGTACTTTTATCTGTTATGTTGTAGAACTGTTTCTATTGCTAGTATACTGCACAGGTTATAATAGTGAGTAAAAAGCCTCGTCACTACTTCAATGAGGTTAGACAATATACTTACTGGGTACATGGAGTCGGTTGTACTCATACTAAACTTCTACACCTTGCGTGCAAATTTTGAAGCTAGAGTCGTTGTGTATGGCGGGAGCTGGTATTGAAGATGTACCTGCGTTCCGATTACAGCTGCCACTTGTCCTTAGTAGCTTTAGATTTTGCAAATTTGATTATGTAAACTTCAAGAAGATGATGCATTTATTCGTACCAGCTTCTGTAAATTTGAAGTCATAGAAGCTCATGATTTGTACTACCGATCCTTGGGTTATTGTATAAATGTTTAGATAATTCTTCATTGTTTTTTTATAAATCTCATTTGGGTTGTATTGATTGTTAGTTGGCTTACCTAGCGGGTCGAGTTAAGTGCCATCATGACTAGTAGATTTTGGATCGTGATAATATGACAGACACCAAATCTTTGTTCCGGGAGTTTGATGAGACGCAAAAGATAAAAGTGCAGCTTGGCAACAAAAAAGAGATGCAGGTTAAGGAAAAGATACAATGAGTGTCAACGCTAGCCATGGCAAAATAAAAATCCTGGATAATGCTCAATTTATGCCTAATTTAGGATAAAATTTATTGAGCATTAGACAATTAATGGCAAGTGATGTTCTATTTTGTTTTATGTAACTACTTGTGTCATTGCAAACAAAAAATCAGGCAAAAAGATTACTGCAAACATGTTGTTTCCGTTGGATGTTTCTAATATGTAGAACTTCTCTCTCGCTGCAAGTGCAAAGGATGACTCAAATTTATGGCATTTGAGGTACGAGCATCTCAACACAAATATTATGAAATTGCTCAAGGACAAAGGTATGATTTTTGGTCTACCTATAATTGGCTCTCTTAATTTATGTGATGGGTGCATTTATTGGAAACAAATAAGGATCGGAACTCTTTTTCCGTTTGAAAAGTATGGACATCTTCTACAAGTTTAGAATTAATACATGCTGACTTATGTGGCCCTATGCAAACTAAGTCCTTAGGTGGGAGACGTTATTTCATGTTGTTTACTGACGATTATAATCACATAAGTTGGAGTATTTACTGGAAAATACGTCAGAAACTTTTGAGAAGTTCCATAAATTTAAGGCCTTGTTGGAGAATCAAAATGGCAGCCATATTAAATGGTCTTGCACATACAAAGAAATAGAGACAAGAAGCGTAGCATTAAAACTTACAACAACAAGAACAACAACAACAACAATCCAGTAGTGGGGTCTGGGGAGGGTAGTGTGTATGCAGACTTTACCCCTACCCTGGGGTAGAGAGGCTGTTTCCGATTAGACCCTCGGCTCCCTCCCTCCAAGAACTCCCTACCTTGCTCTTGGGGTGACTCGAACTCACAAGTTCTTGATTGGAAGTGGATGGTGCTCACCAATAGAGCAACAAACTTTTTTAAAACTTAAAAGAGACCAAATGTAAGTCATTTACAGAGTTTTGGTTGTGTTGCTTATGTTTTGGTTAATTTTCAAGCTCGTCAAATTGCTTGATGAAAAATCTCAAAAAAACATTTTTATTGGTTATTGTTTTCAATCCAAAGCATATACCATTGTATAAACCTCTTAATGGTAAGATCTCAATTAGAAGGGATGTATAATTGATAAAAATTCAAACTGGATTGGAGTATAAAAACAGGTGCAAAAAGAGATTCTTATGCCTCTTGGGATCTTTTAAGATGCCAAGAGGTTGTCAATTTGCTCTTATTATTTCATATCACATAAATTATGGAGAAACAGATGAAAAAGAAGAATAACAGAAAGCAATGGCGGAAGAGATGAAATCTTTTGTAAAGAATGAAATATGAGAGATAGTGAAGTTACCACAAGGAAAAAGTTCAAATGGCTTGAAGTGAATGTTCAAGACAAAGTTTGCAACAGATGGGAGCCTACAGAATCTAATATAAGATCACATGTTACAAAATTGATCATCCACTCTACAAAATGGCAAATTAAAGACTGAAGTTGGTGTCGAAATGTGACCCAATTCTAGGTCATAAGTTCAAATTTTAGGTGCGACAATATTCTTGTATAAACCAGATACCGCCACTACTCTCAGATTAGGCGAAAAATTCAGAAATGTCAATCATCAGGCTAGGATCAATAGTATCAACTTCATCATCCACTGATAAATCCCAGTACCCACAAAATGGCGAATTAATTACTGAAGTTGGTGTCGAAATAAAATCGGTACGACCCAATTTTGAGCTCTGAAGAATCTGGTCCAATTCAAACTCCTCCTCTTGGGTAGGCAACAATGACAAGTGCAAGGATTCTGAGGTTATTGGAGATGTAAATGGCTCCATTGAATTGGCAAAGAATTGGGCATTTGCACTTTCTGATTTTGGTGGTGTGAAAGGAAACTCTTCTTCTTTGATAATATTCAAATTTTCAACTTTTTGATTCCCCACTTTCTGTTTCTGTTTCTGTAGCTGATACTGATTCTTGTTAGTATAATTTGCCTTTTGGGTTTCTTCTGAAATGTCTACTGATTGTGAGGCTTTGCAACTGTGCTTTCCTTTATATGTGACCTCAAAGACTAGAGGGTCTTCATCTGATTGTTGGACTTGTTTTATTGCTAAGCAGCCCTGTGTATTCTTGTGAGTGCATCTGTAATAAGCCCTGCAATTCCAAAGTAAAATTCTTTTTAGATATACATTTCCAAAATCTATTTTCAGTTAAGCAATTTCTTGTACCATTCCCTAGTATATACAACAACGACAACAAACCTAGTGTAATCTCATAAGTAGGGGTATGGGGAAGATAGTATGTACATAGCCTTTACCCCTACTTTATGTAGGTAGAGAAACTGTTTTCGGTAAACCCTCGACTTCAAACAAGCATGCAAATCACGACAATATAGAGAAGAAATGATTATATACTTAAAACTAATTAATTAGCCACATTCGTGATTGTGTAGCACCATGAATTTTCTTAAGAAAAACTCTTCTTCTTGCTCTATAGACATAGTTTGAATATATCTTAGGTGTATAATATGTAATAACCTGAGTTTCTAAAATGAAAAGATGTGACAATTTTAAAGGCTGTCTACATATTTGGAAATCCTTCGGGCCCAAAAGTTGAATTGTTGTAAATTTAAGGACATTCTTCTTTTGAATATTCAAAAAGGTAAAAACTATCACCACCTAACAAAAGTGAAAAAAAATGAACTTTAGGCCTGTATAAGTGATATTAACTTGACTTAACAAATATTTCTTCTTCAACTTAAAGTTGGTAATAAGTGAAGTGTAACTAACATTCCATAAAAAGATAAAACTGAGGAATATATTGGGAACACAATTCTCCCCGGACCAAAGTTGTTATTACTGTTGTATATTCAAAACACAAATTAAGGGTTAAATGCAAATTATGTTATCTAAAAAAAAGTAACAGAAGGAAAAGGAATAGGTTTTTTCACCTGGGAAAATTTGCTCCTAAAATATCTTTCTGGCCATATTTTCTCCAACTATAGCCATCATCATGATTAAGATCTTCTATCCCAGATATCCTAACTTGCTTACTCCATTGCTGCAATAACTTTCTGCAAATCCAACAAATTTAGAAAAAAATCCAATGCTTTAATTTCAAGAAATCATAGAAAATGGTTTAGTGAGGCCTAAATTCACCTTTTTTTAAAGACCATATTTTTGCCTTGATCCCTTGAATAATCCAAGTCAGAACCCTCACTCTTTGGACTTTTACCAAGAGTGGAAGTAGGAATTCCAAATTTGCTAACTCCAAGTACTGAAATTGATGAACAACAACAAGGGTCTCTAATTACATTAACAGCCTTCAAATTCAGAATTGACAATGATTTGTCAAGGGAGGAAAGTATTTTTTCAAGTAGTAAATCACATTCCTCTGGTGAAGCCAAAGGATCAATCTTGCTTTTTAGCCTGTTTACAAGCTCCAACCCCTGAGTAAGCTCAGTGATCAGAGTCATTTTTTCCCAAGCTTTAACTTTCTCCATTTGGGTATTAACAAAAGTGCATAAACTTACAATATTTTTTTATGAGAAAAGTTATGCCAAAGGCAACACTAAATGGAGTGTACAAAAACAAGAAAATATGTAAAAGGTTCAAATGGCAAATGAGTATTTGAGATTACTGAGCTTTATAAGGATGACAAATATTGGTTCATTAAATGACAAGAAATAAGAAAGTAAAAGAGAAGTGAAGGTTCTATGTAACTACATAAAGGCTCTGTTATTATTGCAAAAAAAAACTATGGAAGGATAGGTGATATATAGAGGAAAAGATGTGGAAATTAAGGAGGACAAGAATTTGACATGTGAACAAAAGGGAGTAGGAAATTTTCTTCTACTTTCCCATAGATATCGACTATGCAGAAATTCCAGAATAATTCAAGAAAGTTTCAAAGGGGGGCCTTTTAGGCCACCACCAATTAATCACATCTCTTTTCTTTTTCTTTTTCTTTTTCTTTTTCCTTCTTGTGTCTCTTACTTGATGCTCTGTATCATTCTTGATTACTAACGGGTGATAGAAGTCGGAATTTTCATTAAGGGGTCAAAATATAAAGAGGTAAATTTAGGAAGAAGTTAAAGGAGTGTCAATTTGTAGTATAAATATATAAAAAAAAATTGCTTCTCCCGTTTCAATTTAGATGAATTATTTTGACTCGGCACGAGTTTAAGAAAAAAAAAAGACTTTTGAAACTTGTGGTCTTAAAATCTTAAGGATAAAAGTTTTGTGGGGCCATGACATTTGTGTGGTTCTAAAAGTTTATCATTAAGGACAAAATAGGTAAAATGAAGAGTTTAAAGTTGAATTATTTTCAAATTTAAAAATATGTCATTTATTTTGAAACTGACTAAAAAGAAAAGTATCTTATCTAATTTGAAACGAAGAAAATACCTAACCATAGAGCGTAATTTTTCGAACGATTATCGGTGACATCCTTTGAATACACATTGGATCCGTCACTAACTAAATAGAAGTATATTTAATGGCCTTCACATTTGCTACCTACCAAAACTTTTCAATAGTTACTTCAATAGTGCTAATCTATCCAAAAGTCAGAATCTTATAGACATCTAATTAATGTTGCTACGTCAAAGAATTATGATAATGCATACAATATGTAGATAGAGTTATCAGTAACTAAATGTAGGAGTGTACATAGGTCCGGTTGGTTCGAATTTTTTTCAATTATCAAATCAAACCAACGGTGTTAGGTTTTTAAATTTGTAAACCAAACCAAACCAATAAAATTGGGTTTTTCAATCTCGATTTTTTTCAGGTTTTTCGAATTTTTTCCCGATAAAGTCTTAATAGCACAAAATATGTAACTTGTACTCCAAATATTTATTTTAGTCCTAGTAGGATACGACTATATAATGTATTTTCCAAGAAAATAAAATAATAATATGAGATGAATCATAACATTGTACTAAAATATTCAATAACAAAGATAATAAAATCGCACAAAAAAATATTACTAATTAATATAATAAAAATTAACATAATCTAAAAATACTATATAGTTCATGCTAAAATAAGTGCAACTAATAAGTACTAGTATTAATTACACAACTAAGCACTAAAGAAAAAGATAAATTAGGTTATGCATTTTCATTATAAATCAATGCAAAAAAAAAAAAAAAAAAAAAAAAAAATAGATATCCAACATTATTATTCCTAGTGTTGAATTGAATTTTCTTTATTAGCATTAGTATTGATTTAAACTTTATTTGACTTACTACCTTTATGAGATATAATATTTATTGGACCATTCAAGAATGTTAAGTCCAAACTTTAAATAATACTTTTAAAGATAAAATTGTGAACAAGTTTAAAAAATATTTATAAATTATATTACAATAAATATTTATATGGATAAATATTTTTAAAAATTATATAAATGTAATATCGGGTTGGTTTGGTTTCGGTTTGACTTTTTTAGTTAAAATCAAACCAAACCAATTGTGGCCGGGTTTGTTTTTCAACACCAAACCAAATCAAACTAAATCACAATCGATTTTTTTTCCGGTTTGACTCGGATCATTGAGTTGGTGCGATTTATCAGTTTTCTTTGTACACCCAACCTAAAGGTTCCTCATGGATGGAGGTACTTAGATTTAAACAGAATTTTTAAATGATAAATCTCAATATCTTAAAGCTTTACAATTACGCGCTATTAGGTGGTCCAAAAATATACGATTCAAAATGATATGGTTGGGGTTTACTCTATCCAAACTTATGTGCTATACCAAACTGGTAAAGAAGATTTGAGCTTATTAATCACATCCCATTTCTTTTTCATTTTCCCTTTTTGTATTTCTTACATAGGGCTCTTCCAAATTGAATCGTAATCGTTAATCGAACCATAAAAGTGGCTTAATGACTTATTGATATCGGGTTATCGGACCAACGGTTGGTGAACATGTTGAATTTTTATAATTAACGGTTTATCGATTTGGAGGCGAATTACTCTATTTTCTTATCTGATAAACCATTAACCTGTTAAGAATTATTACATTTATATTTGAACCCATTATGAAGCAACTTCTTAGGAGCTTGAGCTTCAACATCATCATAACTTATTTTTTTGGATAGGACTAGGCAAATCTAAATATTTCGTGATACCTTTCTGCTCAAATAAATCATTTAACTTGGTAACTGAAGCAAAACTATATCTAGAATTTATGTTAACTGAACTTCTATTACTGGTTAAGGATCCCCAATTTGTATTTTAGCTTGCTTATTATAATAACAACAATAATCCAGTGGGATCCCACAAGTGGAGTGTGGGGAGGGTAATGTGTACGCAGATCTTACTCCTACCCTGGAGGGGAGAGAGGTTGTTTCCGAAATACTCTCGACTCGAGAGGAAGAATAGGAACAAGTAAATAACAATAACAAGGCCAGAAAAATGACACCAAAATGTAAGGACCGAAGAATAAATGGAAGAAAGCAATAGCAAAAGTAGTAGCCACAAGCAGAAACACGATGGGGTAATAGAAAACCGAAGCGGAAGATAGTACTAAAACAACCCTAATACTGGCATTCTAAGAATTGAAGACAATATACTAGTCAGCTAGCCCTAATAAACCTGGAACAGATCAGAAAAATACACGACGACTATTACCTTTCTAACCTAATCTTCGACCTCCATACCCTCCTGTCAAGGGTCATGTCCTCGGTAAGCTGAAGTCGTTCCATGTCCTGTCTGATCACCTCTCCCAATACTTCTTAGGCCGCCCTCTACCTCGTCTCCTACCTGCCAGCGCCAACCGGTCACACATGCTCACTAGAGCATCTAGGCTTCTCCTTCTTACATGCCTGAATCGTCTAAGCCTCACTTCACGCATCTTATCTTCCATAGGGGCCACACTCACTTTCTACCGAATAACCTCATTCCTAATCTTGTCCAACCTAGTGTGCCCACACATCCATCGCAACATTCTCATTTCGGCTGCGTTCATTTTATGGATATGAGAGTTCTGGATTAGCTAGCATTCTGCCCCATACAACATAGTGGGTCTAATCGCCGCCTTGTAGAACTGACCCTTAAGTTTTGGTGGCACATTCTTGTCATATAGAACGTCGGATGCTAGCCTCTATTTCATCCACCCCGCCCCTATACGGTGTGTGACATCCTCATCAATCTCTTCGTCCCCTTGGATAACTGACCCGAGATACTTGAAACTTCCTCTCTTGGGGATGACTTGTGAATCAAGCCTCACGTTTATATCTGCTCCCCTTGACACTACGCTGAACTTGCACTCCAGGTACTCCGTCTTCGTCCTGCTCAACTTGAAACCATTAGATTCTAAGGTCGGTCGCCAAACCTCCAACTTTTCATTGACACCGCCTCGCGTTTCATCAATCAGCACTATGTCGTCAGCGAATAACATACACTATGGCACCTCCCCTTGAATATGACGCATCAGTTTATCCATCACCAAAGTAAATAAGAACGGGTTGAGCGCAGATCTTTGGTGTAACCCCATCCTAACTGGAAAATGTTCTGAGTCTTCTCCCACTGTACTCACCCTAGTCTTAGATCCATTTCCTTAATCACTCTAATATACACTACAGGAACACCTCTAGCCTCCAAGCATCTCTAAAGGACCTCCCGAGGGACCTTGTCATACGCTTTCTCTAGGTCAATAAATATCATATGCAAATCTTTCTTCCTATCCCTATACTGTTCCACAAACCTTCTAACAAGTTAGATGACTTCCGTAGTCGAACGTCCAGGTATGAAGCCGAACTGGTTCTTGAAAATAGACACTATCTTTCTAATCCTCACTTCTATCACCATTTCCCACACTTTCATAATGTGACTAAGCAACTTGATACCACTAATAATTCTACTTTAGAATAATTTTATGATTTTTTTTTCAACATAATTTTATGATTTGAGAATAGTAAAAATTGACTACTCTGGTTAGTTTTATTTATTTATTTATTTATGCAGATGAGTACAAAATGAAACACAAAGCTCGTTTTGATACTTCAAGGTTTTCTTGATTTCTCTCTTTTCTATCTACTCTGCTTATTATACAAATAGTGAAAGTTGACTATTTTGGTTGGTTTTTTGGATGCAGATGAAGCACAACATAAAGAGACGCATTGCAATGAGAATGTTAGCAGTATTGAGGCAAGTCATGAAGGGATCAACTTAACACAAGACTCTTCGATGTGTTTTTTTTCATTTTTCCTTTTTGTGTTCATATTGGTTCAAATTTCGCCGTTGATATTTTGTTTTTGTTGACATAATGACAAAAAAACTTTATTTTTTTTATTTGACGTTTAGTGCGGAGATCAGTACTATAATAAACTCATTTTGTAATATTTTTTGGATTCTAACAAACTATATGGACGGGTTAAACTCTGTTTACCCGAAAAATTGGATAACGTTGAATTTATGTATGGTTCTAAGGGTAAGTAGGTTCCTTTGATCTGAAGATAACAATACACATATTTATGATGCAAGATAGAAAATGATGAACAAAGATACTTAGTGAGCTTTAGAAAGATAAACACAATGAATTCTTAATCCTAGGGAAGATGTCTTCTATTACAATCTATCTTGCCTTTTATAGCTAAGGATGACTACTTTATCTATAGCAACATAATGGAATAATATTACTAGTGGAGGACCCATGATGGTGTGTCTCCTCCTTAATTCCCGCCAAGATTCTCTCATTTGGTGTGGTTGTAATAGCTTTTTGTCTGTGAACTCGATACCGACTCGAGCTTGGTGTCGGATCGGAACCTCGACCTTGGTTTCGAGCTTGGTGATCACTTTC